CCCCAAAACCCCAAAACCCCAAAACCCCAAAACCCCAAAACCCCAAAGAATCTGATATTTATTGAAGCCAATTCAATATAATTCTAGACATAACACATAGTTGTACCTATATGGAAGATTTATCCATAAATGTCAGGTCTGTGCGGTTCTTTCCAATATCACTGGAGAGGTATAGGTTCTCATATGAAACCTTGAAAGGTTTCATATGAGAAGGAGTAACTCTCATTTTAGATTTCATAGACACTTTAGGTAAAGAAAGGTCTGAGGTATTCCTGTCACGCTTTTTGATGTGTTTATCTTGATTATTACTCATGTTAGGGATGTCTAACTTAATCTTTCTTCTCTGATTTGAATTTGCTTGCTTGTGCATTGCATCTTTGTTGTTGATAAATTCCTTGAGCTCGAGTTGAGTGCGGTATTTATTTTTCTAATGAAGTAAATTAAAAATCCATACATTGTTGGCCATTTTAGTATATCCCTCTGAGATTGATTTATTCCTTCTGTGTTCACTTTGGTGTGGATCTAACATAAGATTTTGATCTCACATTGAATCTGTTTTATCAAAACTTTCCTTGACAATGTCTTTCTCCTCTATCAATATCAACAGTATAATACCATCTTGAGCGCTTTCTGAGAAGAAAGAAGACTCGTTATTGTGAGATGTATCTTGCTTAAAGCTGGATTTTATTTTAATAGCCCTTTTACTAAGCGAGCTAGCACGTTCTAAAGTTGATGAGGTCACCTACCTGATTTCTCAATTCTGTTTCCTGCTTGGGTCTTCATCTTGACTACCTTGGATATTTTCCGAACCCCCGCAGGACTGTGGATTTTACTAAGCAGCCCTCCAATGTTCTTTGAGGTTATTGCTGTTACTCCTTGAGACACTTTCTGAACATTTTTAGTTGAATTTAGAGTCTCTTTTAACCTTGGACTATTTCTTCCAGTTTTAAGTAATGTGAAAATCTTATGACGGTTAAACTCTATTTCTCTTGAATTTTCTCTAACCTGGAACTTGATTAGTTCAACCTAAAGCAAGTAAGTTTAGTACTATGCTTCTAAAAGGAGCAACTTCAGAGGTTTAGAATCCGAATTTCTGCTATTAATCCCTATTGATTACCTTCTTGACCATTTCTTCAAGACGCTTCTTGACTGGACCAAATTCTTTCAGCCCAACTTGACGAGTCTTCTTAGCTGCGCTGAATTCTGAAGTTGCTAGTTCTTGATTCAGTGGGGTGTCAGAGCTAATTTTATTAAAGATTATGAGATAAAATTTATGCTAAAAACTGTTACAGTAAGTAAACATTCTTATATTGGTCACTTTAAGAGACAAGATCTCTATTAATTTGGCGTATAAGCATAAGTGTCTCTCTTTTAGAAATCAATTCGAATTCTTATTAAAATTACCAAATTTTAGGATTATGTTGAAGAATTTCTGACATTCTGGAATTTTCTTGTGAGTTCTGAACTAGCTCCTTTGGAAAAGAGCTCATTATTGAGTTAGGTGGATCCTCAAGAACCTGAGGCAGTGGAGAAGCATCCCCCATTGTATTATCAAGGGTTTTATAATTCTTCTGAGTCGGAGAAGTCCCGTTTTTACTTTCAAACTCTTGTACAGGAGTCACCTTTAATGAAGTTTTCATGCTATTTTTGTGTGACTCAACTATTTCTTGAGAGTTTTCTTCAACTCTAATAATTTTCTGAGCAATATCTTGTTTATATTTCTCAAATTCTTGTGTAAATTTGTCAAAGTCGTTTTTAATATTGCTCAAAAGACTGTCATTGTTTTGAATCTGACTCAATGCATTGTGATGATCTTCATCAGCTTTACTAATCTGTGACTCTACCATTTCTTGATATTTTTGTGATTTCTCTTGAATACTCTGAATCGCTCTGTTAAAGGTACCTTCATCAACAGAACTGACATTCTTTAGCTCGACAATGCTTTGTTCAAATTTAGAGTTAATAGTATTTATTTCTTCCTGAAGTTTTCCTGTAATGCTTTCCTTCAGTTTAATCTCTATTTTTGAGATAGTGGCATACCTGATTGTGTGATTTCTTCATTTAGAGACTCTACAAAATCCTTCTTAACCACTCTCAAGTGCTTTTTGAGAAATTCTTTGATATCTTTTTGCCCATTTTCGATACTTTGATTCAAGGTTTCCATATTTTCCTGTGCTAGAGCAATGTCTTGATCAATTTTTATGATAAAGGCTTCCAAGCTGTTATATTTCATTTGGTCTCCGACAAGATTGTTGACAGTTAAATTACGTTCTATCCGAGTGTCAATTTCCTCACTAAGGTCTATATATTATCACTATAAGACATAAAGTGTTTATTCGAGGGACATTACCATTCAGCTGGCTAGTAACTCTGGCTTGAGCTATTTTATTGTTTTGCTCTATCTGTTCTTGTATATATGGTGTTATTTTACTTTGTTCTGCAGTTCTAAGCAATCTCAGTTGGATATCTTTGATTTTATTATTCAATTCAACTTCAAAAGTATCAACCCGAGATTTCATTTTGACAAGTTCATTTTCAAGTCTTTTCCTTTGAGCGTTGTAAACCTGATTCATGTTATTTTTCTAATCTTGTGTTTCGTTCATCAACATTTTCTTCTATTTTAGATAGCTCTGAGCCCATTCTGTTGACCTTAAATTCTGTCTTTGAAGATAAGTCATTGAATTTCTGAGATTGTTCAGTGAAGGCTTTATCTTTTAACTTTAGTTCATGAAGTATGGCTTTAATACAGTCTACCAAAGGGAAAGGGATATTGTTCCATTCATCAGGGTCAATATTTTTCAAATCAAACTTAGGATTTAATGAAACGTTGCTCTTTTGGATGCCAAACTGATAATAACTTCCCTTTGAATCATCTTCATACTCAAGTGAGGTATCACTTAAGGCTAATCCTGAAAGTGCTATCAGCCCTCTAGAGAGGCGTTTTTCATCATTTCCCTCGATCCCTACTCCCAACAACACATTAGACTCCTTCCTCCTCTGCACCGCCGACCGCCTCCTCGTTCTCTCTCCTCCAGGTATCTCCAATCTGTTCTTCCCATGCTTAATTCTTTCTCTCTTCCTCCTTATCTTCTCCTTGGTCTTCATCAACTCAATTTCCTTAGTCCCGTCTTCCATGAATTCTTCATAACTGCTTTTGTCTGACTCCATCGAAATTTATTAGTATTTTAAAATAAAATTTATGGGGTTTTGGGGTTTTGGGGTTTTGGGGTTTTGGGG